CCCTGGAGGGTGCGCTGCTGCCCTCAGCCCCCGTGCTATTCCCATTGACTGACCGCCCTCCCCGACCCCAATCTCCAGTGCATCAACAACTGGCACCGTCACCACGGCTACACCAGTTCTCTGGAGCTGCCCGACAACACCCTCAACTTCATCAAGAAACACCCCCTATTGGAGGAGCAGGTGAGGCCCCTCTGGGGCCGGCCCCTGCTCGTAAAGAAGGACACCAACTTCACCCACCTGGTGGCTGACCGCGTCACGGGGCTTGATGGAGCCTCCTATACAGTGCTGTTCATTGCCACAGGTAGGCACGTGGCATGCGGGCCTAGCTGCTAGAGGCTGGCTGAAGGCCTGTGTGCCCGGATAGGGTGGTCTGGGGATGCCCCGGGGCCCTTGGGCTCTCTCGTTGACACCTGTCCTTCCCCAACCCCCTCACAGGAGACGGCTGGCTACTTAAGGCTGTCAGCCTGGGGCCCTGGGTCCACCTGATCGAGGAGCTGCAGGTGTTTGACCAGGAGCCTGTGAAAAGCCTGGTCCTGTCCCGGAGCAAGGTAATCATCAGGCCCCGCCCGCAGCTCTTCCTCCACCTTCCCTAGTCTGTGCTTGGCCCTTTCGGGGCAGGGGAGGCGCTCCAGCACCCTCGCTCAGCTGGGGGCGAGCTCCAGGTCAGTCCCAGTGGATCCTGCTCCCCGGAGGCCGTGTACATGGCCAGGTCCCTGTGAGGCTGCATTGTCCCCCAGTCCTGACCCCCATGCCTTCCCCCTTCCCTGAGGTGCACTCGGCACCTTTCCCTTTTCTGGCCTGTTGCCGCACCTAAAGTTTCACATGCTCCCCTTTTACCAACTGTTGTGGCTCAAATTGTTCCCCGGAACATGGAATGATGGTAGAAAGAAAGTCTGGTTGAAGAAACACAGATTAGCAGTCACCATGCAAACAGGAAAACACCTTATGCTCGGCTGGTACTATTGTGAGGGCTGCCGGGCCTTGCGGAAAACATACTTCCTGCACTATTTATACCGCACTGGAGCCGTGTGTGTGTGTGTGTGTGTGTGTGTGTGTGTGTGTGTGTGAGAGAGATTATACACAGCACCACGGGGCTACTGTTCCTCTCCAGTAAGGTCACCTTTATAAGGTGCTTAGGATGGGGTCTGGTTTGTAATAAGCCCTCCCTGCGTTCTTTGGTCCTTAGATTTCCATCCTTGGTTCTCCCTTCTCTTGGCCCCTTTTTGCCCTGTGCTGCCCCCAGCAGTCCCAGCTGTGCCCATGCTGTGTCCGGGCCTGGTGGGCCCGCTCCTATGCCCACTGCTTCTCTTGCAGAAGCTGCTGTTTGCAGGTTCCCGCTCACAGCTGGTTCAGCTACCCCTGGCCGACTGCGTGAAGTACCGCTCCTGTGCCGACTGCATCCTCGCTCGGGACCCCTACTGCGCCTGGAGCGTCAACGCCAGCCGCTGTGTGGCCGTGGGCGGCCGCTCCGGGTGAGCGGGCTCTCCTCCTATTGGGACCAGGAGGGGAGGCAGGTGGTGGGAGCAGGGATGCTGATGGACCGTCTTCCCCAACCAGATCCCTGCTGATCCAGCAAGTGACGATCTCCGACACCTCGGGCATCTGCAACTTCCGTGGCAGTAAGAAAGGTGAGCCGCCTTCTGTCCCCCTCCCAGCGGGATGGGCCCGGGGCCAGAGCTGGAGTGTCTGCACTTCCCTTTGGCCCTGGGTTTCCTGCACTGACTCTGCTCCCTCTCCTCTCCCGGCCGCTGCAGTCAGGCTCACGCCCAAGAACATCACGGTGGTGGCAGGCACAGACCTGGTGCTGCCCTGCCGCCTGTCTTCCAACCTGGCCCATGCCCGATGGACCTTTGGGGGCCGGGACCTACCTGTGGAACAGCCTGGCTCCTTCCTCTATGATGCTCGGCTCCAGGCCCTGGTCGTGATGGCCGCCCAGCCCCGCCACGCCGGGGCCTACCACTGCTTTTCGGAGGAGCAGGGGGCACGGCTGGCTGCCGAAGGCTACCTGGTTGCTGTGGTGGCCGGCTCCTCACTGACCCTGGAGGCCCGGGCCCCCCTGGAAAACCTGGGGCTGGTGTGGCTGGCTGTGGTGGCCCTGGGGGCCGTGTGCCTGGTGCTGCTGCTGCTCGTCTTGTCACTGCGCCGCCGGTTGCGTGAGGAGCTGGAGAAAGGTGCCAAGGCGGCAGAGAGGACCCTGGTGTACCCTCTGGAGCTTCCCAAGGAGCCCACCAGCCCCCCCTTCCGCCCTGGCCCCGAGACTGATGAGAAGCTCTGGGACCCCGTTGGCTACTACTATTCAGATGGCTCCCTCAAGATTGTGCCTGGACACGCCCGGTGCCAGCCGGGGACTGGGCCCCCTTCCCCGCCTCCTGGCATCCCTGGCCAGCCCCTGCCATCCCCAACCCGGCTTCACCTGGGGGGTGGGCGGAACTCAAATGCCAACGGTTATGTGCGCTTACAGCTAGGTGGGGAGGACCACAGCGAGGGGCTTGGGCACCCCTTGCCCGAGCTGGCGGACGAGATGAGGCGCAAACTGCACCAGCGCCAGCCCCTCCCGGACTCCAATCCCGAGGAGTCCTCGGTATGAGGGACCCCACGTCGGTGGGGCAGCCTGGGGGCCGTGGCTCCTACTTTTGCACAGGCACCAGCTACCTCAGGGACATGGCGTGGGCACCTGCTCTACTGGGACGGATCCTGCCCAGCACCTGCTCGCCCATGAGGACCTGCTCTGCTCAGCACGGGCACTGCCACTTGGTGTGGCTCACCAAGGCACCAGCCGCCACACGGCGTCTTCCTCCTCTCTGTGAGGGGCTGTGAATCCAGACACGGGACCCCAGCAGCCAAACCTTCAGGACAGAAGTTGGAGATATGGGTGTGTTTGTGTATGTGTGTGTGTGCACGTGGGTGTGTTTGTGTGACCGTCTTCTGTTTCTGTGGAGTCTTCCCTTGGCCTGGGGTCCTCCTGGTGAGTCATTGGAGCTATGAAGGGGAAGGGGTCGATCACTTTGCTTCTCTTACCCCCACTGTCCCCAGGAGGGGCAGGGATGTACATATGGGGGTGGGCTGGGCAGGGTGCTGTGCCCCTGGGGGGAGTGCAGGGCTCTGGGGTGGGCCTCGTCCTGCTTCCAGGGTGGTGAATGTTTTCAGGGTTCAGGGGAGGGAGTGGAACCTCCTGTGTGTTTGGGGGAAGGGAGGGAGGGCCTCCCAGTGGCCCTGGGGTTCCTGGTATTTTATACTTGTCCCCCTTACAGGGCTGGGAGAGGTGTGGGGGCGGGGGAGAGGGTGGGCATGCTGTGGCTATGGCATATCCTCTCCCAGACCTGGAGGAGGGCTCCTAACAGTGTAACTTATTGTGTCCCCGCGTATTTATTTGTTGTAAATATTTGAGTATTTTTATATTGACAAATAAAATGGAGAAAATGAAGCTGACTGGAATGAGACTTTTTTTAAAAAATATATTTTATTGATTTTACAGAGAGGAAGGGAGAGGGATAGAGAGTTAGAAACATCGATGAGAGAGAAACATCGATCAGCTGCCTCCTGCACGCCTCCTACTGGGGATGTGCCGGCAACCCAGGTACATGCCCTTGACCGGAGTAGAACCTGGGACCCTTCAGTCCGCAGGCCAATGATCCATCCACTGAGCCAAACTGGTTAGGGCTGGAATGAGACATTTTGGGGCTAAACCCTGAGTGCCAAGAGGGAAGGCTCCCTGTGGGACTCTAGGTAGATATAGGTCCCACACCTCCAAGTGGCGTAGGTCAGGACCTCTGATTTTTTAAGTTTCTTCTGCATTGCTATCTTCTCAGCACACCTATTCAGATGATGCTGTTTCTCATTTCCTTTAGGTTTCTGTTCAAATGTTACCTTATCAGAGATGTCATCCCTGACCACTGCCTATACCCCTTCTCTGCTTTACTTTTCCTCATAGCATTTAGCACCACCTGACTTATTTCATGTATGTTTTTTCTCCTTGTCTATCTCCTTTAATTAGAATATAAGCTCCATAAGACCAACATTTGGGGGGAGGTCTTTTATTCTCAGCTGACCCTTAGTACCCAGAACAGTGCCAGATGCATAGTAAGTATTCAGTGAGTATTTGTTGAATGAGTGAAGGGCCTGGGCATGGTGGCTTGCTTCCTGCCGCTACCCAGGGCAAGAGAGGTTTTTCAGTCCCAGTTCATCCATGATGTGCCACCTCCTGGCTGTGTGCACAGAGCTTCTCTAGTTCCCTTTGCTCCAGACCCTGCTCAGGCGTTGGAGCCCAAGCCCCTGAGGTGTGTGTCTAGTTGTGCAGACTCTGAATCCTGCAGACCCAGTGCTTGCTCACCACTTTGGCTGTGGTTTTCTCCTTGTTCTGGCACCTGGCAATGTTCTTTTTTTTTTTTTTATAATTTTTTTTTTATTGCTTAAATTATTACAAAGAGTATTACATATGTCTCCTTCCCCCCCCCCCTTGACAATCCCCTGTCCTCCCCTACCCCCCAGTGTCTTATGTCCATTGGTTATGCTTATATGCGTGCATACAAGTCCTTTGGTTGATCTCTTACCCCCCCCCCTCCAGCCCCCCCACCCTCCCCGGCCTTCCTGCTGTAGTTTAACAGTCTGTTTGAGGCAACTCTGCCTCTGTATCTATTATTGTTCAAGAGTTTATAATGGTCTCTATTATCCATCCTGGCAATGTTCTTTTCTTGCTTTTGAATTTGTGCATTCAACCATTTTATTTATTTATTTATTTATTTATTTAAATATATTTTATTGATTTTTTACAGAGAGGAAGGGAGAGGGATAGAGAGCTAGAAACATCTATGAGAGAGAAACATCGATCAGCTGCCTCCTGCACACCCCCTACTGGGGATGTGCCCACAACCAAGGTACATGCCCTTGACCGGAATCGAACCTGGGACCCTTTAGTCCGCAGGCCGATGCTCTATCCACTGAGCCAAACCAGTTCGGCATCAACCATTTTAAACATTACTCTACATTTGAAGTGGGGAGAAGGGATTTCTGTGTCTGTCCCACCCCCTGCTCTGGTCAGGCAAGCTCATTGTCTGGTTCACTGCTATGTCACCAGCACCTAGGACAATCCTTGGCACAGAGGAGGTGCTTGGTTAATATTTGTTGAATGAATATTAACCCAACACCCATTTCTTACCAGTTTTATGGATGGAAAACAAATGGAGGTCAAGGGGTGAAGGAAATATTAAATGTCCTCGGTCAGCATCGTTCAGTACTTTGGTACTTTGGTTGTCTTTCCTTAGGAATCTGGTCAGCAGCCCTGAACGGAGACCTGGGCCGAGTGAAGTATTTAATCCAGAAGGCAGTGGACCCTAGTCAGCCCGACTTGGCCGGCTACACCGCTCTGGTGAGCTGGGAGGAGCTTGGGGTCAGCTGGGGGACCCCTGCTCTCTGGATTGAGGTTTACCTTGTCTCCTCCCTCCTATTCTTCTCTCCCAGCAGGGTTTCTCTTTTACGGGTCATGTGACCTGGATTTTTTAAATAAGTGTGCTTTACATCAGTTATTTGATTTCATTTTCATAACAGTCCCGAGAGGTAGAAATGATTGAGGAAACTGATGCCAGACATGAAGGCAGTTGCCCGTCACACAGCTGATGGAGCCAGGCCTCTGCTCTAGGACCGAGGCTTTCCCCTCCCCTTCCCCCGTCGCCTGCCTGGTTCTGCTGTCCAACCTCGGTCTCTGTTCCCTGCAGCACTATGCCAGCCGCAATGGACACTACGCAGTATGCCAGTTCCTGCTGGAAAGTGGGGCCAAGTGTGACGCCCAGACACGTGGGGGTGCCACCGCTCTGCACCGGGCCAGCTACTGTGGGCACACGGAGATCGCACGGCTTCTGCTCTCCCATGGGTCCAACCCCAGGCTGGTAGATGATGATGGCATGACCAGTCTACATAAGGTATGCCCCTCACACCCTTTAAAACCTTGTTCTTTGTCATTATAAAAGGTGTAGAACATGTTCACTGTAGGAAACATGGGGAAACGGGAAAGCATAAAGTAGAAAATAAAAGCATTTGTAATTGCAGTGCTCACTTCTCATCACTTTAGGATTATTGTGTAATTTTCCAGCATTTTTCCGGTGCATGTAAATTAGAATTAAATGTAGTATCATTTAATTTTTCTTTCCTTTAGTGATATGTCATGAATGCTTTTCTACATAATTTTTTCCTGTAACTTGCACCTATACTCACCTGTCCCTGTACAATTCAGACTAGAAATACCTACACGTGGTAGACAGTGTGAGGAGTACAAGATGGTATACTGTGAAAATGAGTTTCCCTTCAACCCCTGGCCCCTAGTCCCTCTTCTAGGTCCCTCCCTTAAGGCATACATTTTTACCCATTTCTTATGCGTCTTTGAGAAGTGGTTTATTGGATATGTGTACATTTATTTCTGTCTTGTCCCCACTTGATTTTCCTCCAGAGTGATGGTTTTAAAAAGCAGTTTGGATCATGCCAAACTTAGACTCTTTCCAAGCTTTTTAAAGTCCTGAATATGGCCCTCACCGGTTTGGCTCAGTGGATGAGTGTCGCCTGCAGACTGAAGGGTCCCAGGTTCGATTCCGGTCAAGGGCATGTACCTTGGTTGTGGGCACATCCCCAGTAGGGGGTGTGCAGGAGGCAGCTGATCGATGTTTCTCTCTCATTGATGTTTCTAACTCTCTATCCCTCTCCCTTCCTCTCTGTAAAAAATCAATAAAATATATTAAAAAAAATAAAGTCCTGAATATGGTTTACCAGGCTTGAGGTTAGCCCCTGCCTACCTCTCCAAGTTTATCTTTTTTTTTTTTTTTACTTATTTATTTATACAACCAGGAGCACAATAATATTTTTGAATTGTAGCTTGTGAAACACATTTCTGGCTGTGAATATTAAGATAGAAAAATTTAAGCCCGTGTGGCTCAGTGGTTGAGCATCGACCCAAGGAACCAAGAAGTCACCAGTTCAATCCCCGGTTAGGACACATGCCTGGGTTGTGGGCTCAATCCCCAGTAGGGGATGTTCAGGTGGCAGTCAATTGATGATGTTCCTCTCTCATCGGTATTTCTCTCAATCCCTCTCTTTCTAAAAAAACCAATAAAAATATTTTTTTAAAAAGAAAAAAGGAAGTAGTTGTTTGCATTATGTTAACAATAGAACCTGTGACTAACACTTTTTGCTATCCACTAAAAATCTGTGCTCACTTTTTTCTTTTTTTAATTCCTACCCGAGAGAAAGGAATGGAGAAGGAGAGAGAGGTAGAGGGAGAGAAACATTGATCAGTTGCTTTCCCTATGTGCCCCAACCGGGGATTGAACCCATAACCCAGGTATGTGTCCTGACCAGGAATCGAACTGCATAGTACAACAGTCAACCAACTGAGCCACTCCAGCTGGGCTGTGCTCACTTTTTAAAAAAAATTTGGGTGTTTTTGTTTTGTTGTTTTTTGTTAATCCTCGCCCAAGGATAATTTCCCATTAATTCCTAGGGAGAGACACAGAGAGAGAAATATTGATGTGAGAGAGACATATCGATTGGTTGCCTCTTGCACATGCTCCCGACCAGGGCCGGGGATCGAGCCTGCAACTGAGGTACGTGCCCTTGATTGGAATCAAACCCAGGACCCTTTAGTCCTTGGACCGACATTCTATCCACTGAGCCAAACCAGGTATAGAAAAAAATTAGTTTTAATTATAGTTGATATACAATGTTATATTAGTTTCAAGTGTACAACATAATGATTGAACTGTTTCATATTAGAGACATGTCCCTCCAAAGGGGATCTCTAATCGCAGACTATATTCCACCCCCTCATGCATAGAAGACAAGACACATTGATCATTATTTCCAGGAGAAAGCCTCTGGGAATCAGTGTTCCAACTCTGTTGCCCCCGCTGGTAACAGAGACCTCAGGGTTGACGAATTCACAGCAAGCTGCTGGAGAGGGAACTGACAGGTGCTTGCATAGGCGCAGCAGCCTTGACATGTTATGTCTACAGAGATAAAGTTCTTTCTCAAGATTGCTGTGGCTATTCGGGTCTTTTGTGATTCCATATAAATTTTAGGATTATGTATTCTAGGTCTAAGAAAAAGGCTATTGGTATTTTGATAGGGATTGCATTGAAACTAGATTGCTTTGGGTAGTATACATATTAATTTATTTATTTAGTATGCACATTTTAATATTAATACTTCCTATCCATGAACATGGTGTATGCTTCCATTTATTTGTATCTTCTTCAATGTCTTTCTTCAATGTATTACAGTTTTCCAAGTATAAGTCTTTTACCTTCTTGGTTAAATTTATTCCTATATATGTTATTCTTTTTGAAGCAATTGTTTTCTTTCTTTTTTTCTGATTATTATTGGTGTATAAAAATGCAACTAATTTTTGAATATTAATTTTGTATCCCGCTACTTTACTGACTTTAGTTCTAATAGTTTTTTGGTGGAATCCTTAGGGCTCTCCATATATAATGTCATGTCATCTGCAAATGACAGTTTTACTTTTTCCTCTACAATTTGGATGCTTTTCATTTCTTTTTCTTGTCTAAGTGCTTTGACTAGAACTTCCAATACTGTGTTGAATATAAGTGGTGTAAGTGGACATTCTTGTTCCAGATCTTAAAGAAAAAGCTTTCAGCTTTTCATCACTGAGTGTGATGTTAGCTGTGGGTTTGTTATGTGTGGCCTTTATTAGGTTGAGGTATTTTTCCTCTGTCCCCAGTTTGCTGAGAGTTTATCATAAATGGATGTTGCCTTTTGTCACATGCCTTGTCTGCATTTACTAATATGATCATATGATTTTTATTCTTAATTTTATGTTGTATATCAAGTTCATTGGTTTGTGGATATTGAACCAACCTTGCATCCTAGAAATAAGTACCACTTGATCATAATGTATGCTCTTTTTAATGTATTACTGAAAATTTTTTGCTGATATTTTGTTGAGGATTTTTGCATCTGTTATTAAGGATATTGGCCTGTAACTTTTTTTGTGTGTGTAATGTTTTTGTCTCATTTTGGTTTTAGGTTAATACTGACTTTGTAGAATGAGTTTGGAAGCATTCCTCCTTCTTCTATTCTTTGGAATAATTTAAGAAGGATAAGTATTCTTCTGTAAAACCACCTGATCTTGGACTTTTGTTTGTTGGGAGTTTTTTCATTTTTATTGTTAGTGATCAGTGTGTTTAGATTTTCTATTTCTTTCTAGTTCAGTCTTGGAAGGTTATATGCTTCTAGAAAATTATCCATTTCTTCTAGGTTGTTCAGTTTGTTGGCATATAATTGTTCATAGTATCCTTTAATGATGCTTTATATCATTACAAATTTGTTTGTAATCATTACAAATTCAGTTGTAATGTCTCTTCTTTCATTTTTAATGTTGTTTATTTGGGCTCTTTCCTGTGAGTTTAGCTAAAAATTTGTCAGTTTTTGCCTAGCCAGAGTGGTTCAGTTGGTTGAGCATCATCCTGTGCACCAAAAGGTTGCCAGTTCAATTCCCGGTCAGGGCACATACCTGGGTTTCAGGTTCAGTCTCCAGTTGGGGCACATACGGAAGGCAACCTATCAATGTTTCTCTCTCTGTCTCTCTCTGTTCCTTTCTCTAAGCATGTCCTTGGGTGAGGATTAAAATAGATAGATAGATAGATAGATATTTAAAAATCCCCTACTATTGTACTAGAGGCCCAGTGCACAAAATTCATGCACTCAGGGGGGCGTACCTCAGCCCAACCTGTGCCCTCTTGCAGTCCTGGAGCCCTCGGGGATGTCCTACTGAGCCCTGCTTCTGGCTGAGCCGTGCTCCCCCTGTGGGAGCGCACTGACCACAAAGGGGCAGCTCCTTCGCGTCATAGCGACTGGTCGTTCTGCCGTTCAATCGATTTGCATAGTAGCCTTTCATTATACAGGAGGATTACTGTAGATTTCTCCCTTTATGTCCATTAATAATTACTTTATATAGTTAGGTGCTCCTATGTTGGCTGTGTATATACTTATGATTGTTATATCCTCTTCTTGGATTGGCCCCTTTATAATTATATAATGTCCTTCTTTGTCTTTTTTTACATTCTTTGTTTTAAAGTCTATTTAGTCTGATATGAGCATTGCTACCCCAGTTTTCTTTTCATTTCTATTTGTATGAAATATCTTCTTCCATCCCTTCACTTTTAGTCTGTATGTGTTTGTCAATTTCAAGTGAGTCTCTTGCAAGCAGCATATAGATAGGGCATGATTTTAATCCATTCAGCCATCCTTTGTATATTTACTGAACATTTAATGCCCTTAAAGTCATATTGATAAGTATGTACTTATTGCTGTTTGTTGTTATTTTGGTTGTTTTTGTAGTTCCTCTCTATTCCTTTCTTCTTCTCTTTATCTCTTTCCTTATGGTTTGATGGTTTTCTTTATTCTTCTGTTTGGGTTCCTTTCTCTATTTTTTTCTGTATCGTTTGTAGGTTTTTGGTTTGTGGTTACCATGAGGTTTATGTGTATCATTCTATATTTATAGCTGTTTATTTTAAGCTGCTAGGCATGTAAGTTCTCATATTCTAAAAGGACTACATTTTTGCTCCCCCTCCCTCCAGTCTTTTTTTTTTAAATATATTTTATTGATTTTTTACAGAGAGGAAGGAAGAGGGATAGAGAGTTAGAAACATCGATGAGAGAGAAGCATCTATCAGCTGCCTCCTGCACACCCCCTATTGGGGATGTGCCCACAACCAACGTACATGCCCTTGACTGGAATCGAACCTGGGACCCTTCAGTCTGTAGTCCGACGCTCTATCCAGTGAGCCAAACCAGCTAGGGCCTCCCTCCAGTCTTTATGTTTTGAGGTCACACTTCATTTATCTATTTTTAATTTAAAAATTTTTTTAACTGATTTTAGAGAGGAAGGGAGAGGGAGAGAGAGATAGAAACATCAATGATGAGAGAGAAACATTGATCGGCTGCCTCCTGCACACCCCTTTCTGGTGATCGAGCCCGCAACCCGGGCACGTGGCCTTGACCAGAATCGAACCAGTCCACAGGCTGACACTCTTTTCACTGAGCCAAACCAACTAGGGCTTTTGAGGTCATACTTTAGATATTTTTTGTTTGTTTGTTTTCTTTTGTTGTTGTTAATAAATCTTTGTTTTGTGTGTCTCCTAACTACTTGTTGTAGTTTTTATTGAGTTTGGTACTTTTGTCTTTTGTCTATCATAGTAGCTTTTTAAATGGCTGATTTGCTATGTTTATTAAATATTTGCCTTTACCTGTAGGCTATTTTCCTTTCTCATATTTCCTTGTTTCTGGTTATGGCCTTTTCTTTTCTGCTTAAAGAATACCCTTTACCATTTCTTGTAAAGCTGGTTTAGTGATGATGAACTCCTTAAGTTTTTGCTTGTCCAGAAAATTCTTTATCTCTCCTTCAATTCTGAATAATCATCTTGCCCAGTAAAGTATTCTAGGTTGTAGGTTCTTTTCTTTTAGCACTTTAAATATGTCCTACTGCTCCCTTCTGGCCTGTACAGTTTCTGCTGAGAAATCAATGGATAGCCTTATAGGTTTTCCCCCGTATGCAACTTATTTGCCTCTTGCTGCACTTAAGATTGCCTCTTAACTTTAGTGTGGGCATATATTTCAGTGTGCTCATGGAGGGGTGAGTTCAGTGTCCCCTGCACCACTGAACTCTTGAACTTCTGCCTTTTTAATTACAATATGTCTTGGTGTGGGTCTCTTTGGATTCATCTTGTTTGAAACTCTTTGTGCTTCCTGAACCTGGATATGTTTCCTCTCCCAGGTTAGGAAAATGTGTTCCTTTCTTTCTCCTTCTGGGATCCCTATAATGTGATGTTTGTGTGCTTGGTGTTTTCCCAGAGGCCCCTTAAACTATCCTCATTTTTAATTTTTTTTATTTTTGCTGTTCTGATTGATTGGTTTCCACTAGTCTGGCTTCCAGGTTGCTGATCCATTCTTCTGTTTAAGCTAATCTGATGCTGATTCCTTCTATTATATTTTTTTCACTTCACTCGTCATATTTTTCAGGTCTGCTTGGTTCTTTATTATACTTTCTAACTCTTTGGTGAAGTTCTCTCTAAGTCCCTTTTTTACTCTGAAGTTTGGTGAGCATCCTTATGACCATTTATTTGAATTTTTTTAATATATCTTTATTGATTTCAGAGAGGAAAGGAGAGGGATAGAGAGTTAGAAACATTGATAATGAGAGAGAAACATCGATCAGCTGCCTCCTGCACACCCCCTCCTGGGGATGTGCCCGCAACCAAGGTACATGCCCTTGACTGGAATAGAACCCGAGACCCTTCAGTCCGCAGGCCAACGCTCTATCCACTGAGCCAAACTGGTCAGGGCTCTTTGAATTCTTTATTGGATAGATTACTTATCTTTGTTTCAATAAGATTCTTTTCTGGGGATATTTCTTGTTCCTTCCCTTGAGAGATAGTCCTTCATTTTCTCATTTTGTTTGACATTCTAGTTTATATAACTAGACAAATAGCTATCTTTTCCAGTCTTGAAAAAGTGGCCTTGTGTTGCCCTAGCTGGTTTGGCTCAGTGGATAGAGTGTTGGGCTGTGGACTGAAGGGTCCCAGGTTCTATTCTGGTCAAGGACACATGCCCGAGGTTGCAGGTTTGATCCCCAGTGGGGGGCGTGCAGGAGGCAGCTGATCAATGATTCTCTCTCATCATTGATGTTTCTATCTCTCTCTCCCTCTCCCTTCCTCTCTAAAATCAATAAAAATAAAAATAAATTAAAAAAGAAAAAGTGGCCTTGTGGCTTTGTGTGCTGGGTCGTTTGGCAGGCCATTGGAGCCAGCTGCGTGTGGTAATGCTCTATTGATCCTGTTTTCTCCCTTCGTTAAGAGCTGGAATGGGCTCTGGGTGGTACGGCTGGAAAAGCACTGCAGTAACCTTGCGTGGAGGTCAGAGCCCCTGGATAGAGCTGTTACCTGCCCTATGGAGGTGGAGGGAAACATAAGCAAGGACGTTCACTGGCACCCAGGCAATTCCCACCGGTCTTGGAGGCTCCCACGGTTCCCCAGCCTTCTCTGTGCAGTTCCTCTCGGACATTTATTGTGCAGAAGCGCTCAGTCGCTCCCAGTGGTCTCTTGGAGGAATGGCTCTCTCTATATGTGGGCATATATTTCAGTGGCTCGTGGAGGGGTGAGTTCAGTGTCCCCCGACACCACCGCCATCTTGGACCTCACTTTCTTTTTTAAAAAAATAAACTACTTGCGAACATTGGTACTTTTTTTTGTTGTTAAAAAAAATTACTTGAAATGCATTTCACAATTGTTCACAACATACCACTGCCTGAAATGAGGCAACAGAATTAAGAACCTGGGTCTATACTCATCAAAAGGACCTGCTAAAAAAGAGTTGGGTTCAAATTTGAGATGATGGTTGCTACTAATACTAATTTTGATACCTCTCAAAAGTCCCGTATTCCATCAGTTTGTCTGTTGGGAGGAGTAGGGAGTATAGTAGTATGACAGTTGTTAAGAGTTCAGACTTTGAGGTCAGACAGACCTGCTTAGAATCCCCAGGCTGCCACATTAGCTCTGTGACCTTAGGTAAGTCACTTAACTTTTATAAGCCTCAGTTTCTTCGTTTATAAAATGGGAATGATGATAGTTCCTACTTCTGATAGTTACTGTGGAAGTGAAATAAGATAATTTATGTAAATCACTTAACTGCTATTTTTTGGAAATAAATTAGAAATTGACATCCAGATTGGGATCATCTGTCTCAGAGGAGGAGAGGAGAAAGCTGGGGACCTGGGCCCGTTTTCCTCTGCTCATCTGAAAGTCCCAAGAGACCATGTCTGATGTCTCTTGTGTTCATGGTGCCCAGCACCCTCTAGATGATCAGGATGTTTGTAAAAGACACTTAGAGACCCAGGGTTCTGTACTTGTCTTCATTGTGCAGCCTGGACAAGGAAGAATGGCCATTGAGCCAAAGACCATGAGAACCAAAAACTCAAGCTAACTGCCAGGCTGGCCCTAGAGTACTCCGCCCATCTGAGTGCTTGTCGTGGGAGTGGGTAGGAGTTAGGCGAAGCCAACCCAAACATCCAGTGTCTCCATTTCCACGAGGACCAAGAGACCCCCAGAAGTAGTGCAAGAGCAGGGCCCAGTGAGGTGTGACTTTTGATTCAGGCTGTTCTCTCCACAGGCTGCTGAGAATGGTCACGTGGATATCTGTTCCCTTCTGTTGCAACACAGCCCAGCCCTGAAGGCTGTCCGAGATCGGAAGGCACGACTAGCATGTGACCTGCTGCCTCACAACAGTGAACTGCGGGACCTGCTGGCCAGTTGAATCACCACCCTTCTGTCTCAGGCTGCCGTGCAAGGGTACATAGACTAGGTCTCCAAGCCCCAGCTTTGGTCAGCATCCATGCTGCAGGGTGGGAAAGTGAGGCCTGAAGACCCAGGAAGAGCCTGATTTTGGCCCCTGGAGTGATGGAGTAGATTTGGGGGGCTGCAAGTGCTTAAGCCTGGACAGATGACCCTATTCTAAATTAGTTCATGTGGAAACATCTATCCATTTGGAAAAAATAAAGTTATATCCTTACCTCACCCATGCCCAGATTAAATTCCAAGTACCTAAATTGTACGTGGCGAGGTAGCTCAGTTGGTTTGATACTCTAAGGTTGTGGGTTCAATTCCCCATCAGGGCACATATAAGAATCAATCAATGAATGCATAAATAAGCAGAACAACAAATAAACGTTTCTCTCTTCCTAAAATCAATAAATAACAAAAAACTTAAATAAAAAGACCTAAATTGAAAAACACAAAACTTTGCAAGTAAGTATTAGAAGAAACTACAGAATATGTAACAAAAGCTTCTTGCTATGAGGTATCTTGGTAAATGTCACTTCATCTGTGAGATGAGGATGATTTTAGGACCTGCCTCAAAGGCACTGGGGATTTGGTATTTGAATGTATGGGGAGCACTGGAGAGAGTGCCTGGCATGTTGCAAGCAGTGTATTAGAGCACACCCTTCCTCAAAACCTGATCAGCACGTTTTTATACCATAATTTCATGCATTTCAATAATATGATAGATTTAAAAGTGCTGTTGCTATTATTTTGAATTGTTGATTACTAGTGAGGTTGACACCTGTCTTCTATGAACTTCCTGTCCACATCCTTTGCTCATTAAAAAATTTGTTTTTATTGACTCACTAGAGGCCTGGTGCACAAATTCATGCACAGGTGGGGTCCGGCCAGCCCGCCCAGATGAGCCCATCAGGCCAGCAGAGGGGAGGTGCCACGGGCAGTTGGCTGGCTGACCCCGGCCCCAATCAGAGTGTTGGCCAATTGTGGGCCGGGCCAGCTGGGGGGGAGGCCTGATCGGGGCCCAGATCAGGCCGGTTGGCTGCTGCAGTGCACGTCATAGCCACCATTTGTTCCCCTGTTCCAGTTGCTTGGCATAGATATATATATAGATATAGATATATGTATATATATGTGGACTAGACTAGAGGCCTGGTGCACAAAATTAGTGCACTTGGGTGTGGGGGTCCCTCAGCCCGGCCTGCACCCTCTCACAGTCCGGGAGCCCTTGGGGGATGTCTGACTGCTGCAGAGGCGGGAGAGGCTCCTGCCACCGCCACTGCGCTCACCAGCCGTGAGCCCAGCTCCTGTGTTGAGCATCTGCCCCCTGGTGGTCAGTGTGCATCATAGCGACCGGTCATTCTGCCATTGGGTTGATTTGCATATTAGCCTTTTATTATAAAGGATAAAGGATAGGAGTTGTTTATGGCTTCTGGATATTGACTCTGTTTTGGCTGTATATATTTTTTCCTTTCATACTGTCATTTGTCTTAACTTTGTTGGCATCTGTTCATGGATTGATAACAGCCACTATAGATGGCAATTTGGCAGTATCTATTAAAATTTAAATCAGCAGCTGAAACCAGTTTGGCTCAATGGATAGAGCGTTGGCCTGTGGACTGAAGGGTCCCAGGTTCGATTCCGGTCAAGGGCATGTACCTGGGTTGCGGGCACATCCCCAATGGATGATGTGCAGGAGGCGGCTGATCCATGTTTCTCTCTCATCGATGTTTCTAACTCTCTGTCTCTCTCTCTTCCTCTCTGTAAAAAAATCAATAAAATATATTTAAAAAAATTTTTTTAAATCAGTGGTTCTCAACCTGTGGGTCGAACGACCCTTTCACAGGGGTCGCCTAAGACCATCGGAAAACACATATATAATTACATATTGTTTTTGTGATTAATCACTATGCTTTAATTATGTTCAATTTGTAACAATGAAAATACATCCTGCATATCAGATATTTGCATTACGATTCATAACAGTAGCAAAATTACAGTTATGAAGTAGCAACGAAAATAATTTTATGGTTGGGGGTCACCACAACATGAGGAACTGTATTAAAGGATTGCAGCATTAGGAAGGTTGAGAACCACTGATTTAAATGAACAGCCTGGCCAGTGTGGTTCAGTGGTTGAGCATTGACCCATGAAGCAGGAGATCAGGGTTCGCTTCCGGGTCAATAGGGGGCATGCAGGAGGCAACTGATCAATGATTCTCTCAATTATGTTTTGCTCTCTCCCTCTCCTGTCCTCTGAAATCAAGAAAAACATTTTAAAAAATTTTGTTAAATGGGCCAATAATTTGGTTTCCCTGTAGCTACGTAGAAGAATATTCAATCTACAAAGACGCCTATTTACGGAGGTATTCACACATTTGAGCCTGGGGTGTAATATTAAAAAAAAAAAAAAAAGACAACCCGATAGGGAAATGGTTACCTTCTGGTCCACATGCCGTTTGGGTGCAGTGGAATGGAGTATGCTAATGTGGGAAGCGTGCTGAGTTGTAATCACAGTATGTGCCTCTTAAAACATGTCTGGCCCTGCCCGGTTTGGCTCAGTGAATAGAGCGTCGGCCTGCGGACTGAAAGGTCCCAGGTTCGATTCCAGTCAAGGGCATGTACCTTGGTTGCGGGCACATCCCCCAGTGGGGAGTGTGCAGGAGGCAGCTGATCGATGTTTCTCTCTCATCGATGTTTCTGACTCTCTATCCCTCTCCCTTCCTCTCTGTAAAAAAATAAATAAAATAGTATGTGCCTCTTAAAACATGTCTGTAGAAACATGTATGTACATACACAAAATTGCAGGAACGAAGTCAGAGCAAGTATAGCAACAGGTGACCATGGTTCCCTAGGGCCACGTGGTTAGTAAAGGGCGCTTTTTGAGCTTTATTTGTTATGTGTGGATTTTTTTACAAGGAGTAATTTTTTTTAAAATATATTTTATTGGTTTTTTTACAGAGAGGAAGGGAGAGGGGTAGAGAGTTAGAAAAATCGATGAGAGAGAAACATCGATCAGCTGCCTCCTGCACACTCAGGGGGTATGTGCCTGCAACCAAGGTACATGCCCTTGACTGGAATCGAACCTGGGACCCTGGAGTCCACAGGCTGATACTCTATCCACTGAGCCAAACCAGTTAGGGCAAGGAGTAATTTTTTTTTAAATAAGCCAGTTAGTTTCATGTGGAAGAAACTAGTTTTCCGCTGAGTTTCAGGTGAAACCCGTTGGAAATATCAAGGGAGAGGAGTGTGAGTAGGTGGCTGGCAGTGCAGCCCGAGCTCAAGTCTAACTTTTTCTTGTCTGTCCACCCTCACTCAGGTCTAGGTAACCCTTTCCCTCCTCATAAGGAAAGACAAGAAAGCACCTTTGACAGAACACCCTGAAGCATACAGATTTTCTTAAAAATCTGGTCTCAGCCCAGCCAGTGTTGCTCAGTGGTTGAGCATCCACTCGTGAACCAGGAGGTCAGGGTTCGATTCCTGGTCAGGGCACATGCACGGGTTGCGGGCTCGATCCCCTGTGGGGGCGTGCAGGAGGCAGCTAATTAATGATATTCCTCTCTCATAGATGTTTCTATCTCTCTATCCCTCCCCCTTGCTTTCTGTAAAATCAATAAAAACATACTTTTTTAAAAAAGATGTAACTATTTTTTTAAAAATCTGGTCTCAGAACTGGCAAGAAGTTACAAATTAGCCAGCCAGCCATGGGTAGGACCTTGGCAGCCCTGAGGTGCCTGGGCTGTCCTTGACCCGAAATCCCCCTCCCTCTCATTTGGTCATCTCTGCTCATGTTACTCCCATTCTGGAGTCTTATTTACTGGCTATCAGGTTTCCTCTCAAAGGTCAAGGCAGAGTTTTTTGCCCGGCTGGTTGAAGGGCATGCTGGCATTTAGGGACTATTAGGAACTTTGATTTTGTGGCTGGTGACAGGTTGCTTTGCGACTGGATTAGCGGTTAATGTTGTGTACTTGGACCTGAAGCGATGTCAGTCTCGCCTTCCCCATGGAAAGCCATGCCCCACTCCAGGAGAGCGCCTGGTAGGGACCTGCATGTGGGGCCTGGGTCTCCCAGGGCTGAGGTGCTGGCAACAGGCTGGACTTGGCCCCTGATGGAGAGGGAGAAGTAAGGGCACCTTGGGGGAAGCCACCAAGAGTGGCGGCAGCCTTGGCACTGGGAGACCCCTTGCCGCCTGATTTCTTCCTGTTGGTGCCATGGGGGTTCCCAGGCCCTCTAGGACTCTGGCCTTTCGCAAGGGCAGTAGGGGCGGCCGGACCTACAGCAGTGTGGGGCTCACACTTGACCCTTTTTTGTAAGTGGCGTCTGGACTTAGGAAAGTGGGAGCTCTTTCCCCCTGAATCTGGGCCAGTGGCCCAGGCACCCTAGGACATGTGTCTATGTGGAATTGCTCCGGAGTGGGTGTAGGGGTGGCACAGGTGCAGGGCAGTGGGTATCTGAGGATGCACCTGACTCAGCTCAGAGCAGCTCCCCCTGCCTGCCTGCACGGCTACAGGCCCACCCTGGTATTTTGGTGGGCATTACAGAGCCACAGAGTCATCTGGCTCAGGTGCAAGCCACTGCCCCGCCCTGCCTGCCCCCAGGGGACAGCTCGCCTATAAAAGGGCTGGCAGCTCAGCTCTTCTCACTGGGGGTTTGGAGAGTGGGGGGACCATGGATGTCTTCAGCGTGCAGCAGTTGGTAAGGACGTGGGAAGAGGGGCAGGAGGGCAGCCAGTCATCCGGGTACCCCCAGACCTTCTCAGCAAAATGAGGAGGCAGCAGCTGCTGCTGTGTCTGAGGATGGGGCTTTCAGAGCCGAAACGGGCAGTTCCCTGGTCTGTGTGCTGGTTCTCCTGTGGGTGGTGAGGGAGCAAGAGAGGGAAGCAGTGGCGTGAAAATCCTAGAGGGGAGTGAGTTTTGCCCTGGACAGGGATGGTGATGGCTAAAGAGGAAGAGGAAATGGCAGGTTGTCTTGGAAAACACCACTGTAGCCGGGTCTTGGTTGAGCTCAGCTGGTGGACATCCACTGCTCTGGAAACGGCCGGAGGCCGGCTGCCTCAGTGCGGAGGGAGGAGGGTGCTCTCTAGTTCCCTGGCTGTGAGAGAAGCGGCAGCGCCAGTGGCACTTTAGGACACATTTTGGTACCACAGTGCCCAGCGGGCCCCAGACCTGTTAGGTGGCCAGCGTTTGCTTTGAAAGGGAATACAGTTCCCTGTGGCTGGAAGCCCCAGAAGCCCCAGGCCCGG